ACCACTAATTATCCTTGTTGCCCTTCTCTGCACCTTCTCTAGTTCTTCTATACCCTTTTAGAGGTGTGAGAACCAAAACTGGTCATAGTATTCAAGGTGTGGATGCACCAAGGATTTATAAAGAGACATAATTGACACTTCCTATTTTGTTCACAGTTCCCTTCTTAATAATGCCTAGCATTTTGTTTGCCTTTTTGATGGCAGCTGAGCATTGTTTTTAGCAAACTGTTTACAAGGTCTCCCACCAAGATCTCTTTCCTGTGTGGTAACAGCTAATGTAGAGCCCATCATACTGTAGGTATAATTTTTGGTTATTTTTGTCCGTGTGCATCATTTTACACTTAACTACATTGAGGCTACTTGAAGATGTTAAAAACCAAAAAACTGCGCTTCACTGGAAGAAGCAGTGCATTACTTCGACCCAGTTCCTCAGCGTCTGCATAGATTGGGTGCTTCAGTGGGGCTTTTTGGTGCCTTTATCTAATAGCAGGTTCAATCCAAGCTGGGTCCTCACACTCCGCCACTCTCCCTAACACCTCACAAATGCCACATGCCCACACCCTGCCCCCATAACACCTCCACATATACACCCCCCAGCATACCCAATTGTCCCCCCAACATACAAGAGTAAGACTTTATTTTTGAGTTATTATGAAATCACCTCTATATACAGTATGCAAACACAAATCATGACAATTTTTTTTATAACAATCTTAAAATATGTTATAGTAGGTGTTTGACTTTTAGTGTAATACCAGCAAATTGCCTATCAAGAATGACGGGGGGTGGGGAATGGAGGGGAGAAAAAATTCTAACTCCCCGCCCCCGTGTCGCTGCCATTTCCCAGGAGTGGGAGGGGCGAAGCTTGCCCCTCCATCCCCCCTCTGCCAGCAACCCATGCCACTACTAGCTTCAAGGAGCAGGTATTATGGTACCTGTCTTATCAGTTGAAAAATCTACCTTATTTGATTCAATGTAGTTTTTGATGTAGAGTGCCATTCCCCCACCAGTATGACCTGTTCTGTCATTCCTGTATAATTTGTATCCTGGCATTTTGGCATCCTTTTGATTTTCCTCATTCCACCATGTTTCTGAGATGGCTATTATGTCAATATCATTATTTACTGTTAAGCATTTATGTCCCCACATCTTGGGTCTTAGACTTCTAGATTTAGTATAAAAGCAATTATACATTTTATTGTTGCCTGGTTGATTTCTCCCCAGCATTCACTAGCAGCTGATCTACATATCTCATGAGATCTGCTACCTTTGCGCCTGGCAGGCAAGTCACCATATAGTCCTTTCAGATGTCACAAACCCAGCTATGAATGTGCCTAATAATCAAATTGCCCAATACCACCACCTGCCGCTTCCTGTGCTAGGGGGGTCCGCTGCCTTGGAGGAGTATCCTTGGTGCAAGAGGGACGCTATGACGTTAGCTGGAAGGTGGGTCTCATCTAAGGAATAGTTTCCCTCCTTCCCAGCTTGATGCCTTCCATCTCCAAGGCTCTCATCCTCCTCAGCAGCCTGGGGCTGCTGTAATGGAGGTGGAGCTGCTGAATGTCCATGTAGAATGATTTGAGAACTGGTGCAGTTAATATGCCAGCCTTTTCATCTCCAACTCAATAATTTGGGTATAGTGGGAAACTCCTAACATCTGTGGCTACTAAGTGAAATGAGTTAGCATAGTGGTACTCACAGTTCTGGCCCTGTGGGCCAGATGAATGATGTGGGGCCAGTCTGCAGGCTGGATTGGGCACCGCGCACTGGGATTGGGCCCTCGGGTCCTGTGTAATCCCCACCTGGCCAAGATCAGGCTCCAGGACCCCACGCTGCCCCCCCACACACTGGGAACAGGCTCTGTGCCACCCTGTTTGCCTGATCTAGCATGCAGGACCACAGCCTACATGGATCCATTAGGGGCCAAGTGGCATGGTGCTGGGGGCTGGATCTGGCCTGCAAGCTTAAGGGTCCAGCACCCTTGAGTTAGTGGGTCTTAAATCAGTTTCTAGTAGACATTTCTCCCTGCCAGAGATATCTACTGTAGTGACTATATCGATCTCTCTGGTGACAAAGAGACTGAGTCCTAGAAATAGGAGCTCTTCCTAAGGAGGGCATGTTGGCAGGGCTGTGGGGGGCAAATGCGTCCCCCTCATATCTTCTTTGTGCTTGTTTGGGATTGAGAACAATTGGAAAAAAAAGTATTCATGAATTGGATTTCAAAGTCTCACATTCAAAACAACAGATTTTGATTTTGCGAGCTACACCACAGATTAATGCTGTGTTTTAGTGCCCAAGTGCCCACCAGTCGCATAAATATTGTCACACTGGAGCCAGCTGTGGGCAGGATATAATCAACATGATCCCCTGAGCTCCAGAAAGCGGGCAGTCATGTGGCCAGATAAAGCTGTTATTTTAAATGGGCTAAATGCTACTAAAACTCTTTAAATTGAATGCAGGAAGTGGTCACTCCAGTCCTTCCCACTACAGACACCTATTCTTGTAGATTATCACTTTGCAAGTCTCATGGCAAGTTCTTGACGCTTTTCTGTATAGTTCAGTCAGATGATTGCTGTAGCAGTTGGTAGCAGAAATTGAACTGGATAGTCATCTTCCACATGGAAAATAAATGTTGGGTAAAAAGATCTTAACAAATGACATTTGATATACCCTCCCTCGGTATTATAAATCTTATTACCAGCACATAACACCGTGTAATCTCATTTCCTTACTGCTGGTTTCAGCTCACTTCCTTGCGGCTGTGGTAAGCATGTGATTACAGCATTAGCTGGTTACTAGCAGCAGTGTCAGTGATTTAATTATGTTAGCTATTATGAAGTTGACTGACAGTGTTGTCCCTTTTGCTGTCATTACAAAATTATTAGCAGAAATATGGTCTCTGCTCTGCAGAACTGGATCATGTCAGCACCTGGGTACAGTGGATCTGTTGTAAAACTTGTTTTCGTTTTGCAGTAACTTTTGACTGTGGAGTCTCTGCTTCTCAGACGCACACAGCTTCCCTTCTCCCTCCTTACCCTATCCTCTCCCTGCCCACCCTATCCTTAAATATTTTAGAGGGGGAAGCCACTGGGATTGTGCAGATCTGTGGACCTTTCCTGAGAAGAAAGGGAAGATTTTTATATTGACTTATCTGAAAGTTTCTTTTCTTCTTACAGGAAGTTCCATAAATGCTTGGGAGTTCCTTCTTCCCAGGCCTACACAGACAGCACTACACAAAACTTGGGAGTGTTCATTATTACTATTGCTTTCATGTCGAGGAGCCCAAGCTGTAGATCAGGGCGCTGTGTGCTAGGTTCTGAACAGCTTAGAAATATATCCCTGCCCTGAAGAGCATCCAGTCTAAGTACATTTCTTTTCCAAATACACTTGAGTCCTCTGTTGCCATCTTACATCACTTCTTTCTGAACTATGTTTTTTTAAACACTTTTTTACCTTGTGCCAGCTGATTTTTGTATAGAACAGCATGGCTTTTATTTAGGGCAGCCTGTGTCAGATGGGAACAGAGGACTCTGGTCCTTGCAACAATATTGTATCTTGGCAGCAAACGCTTCTTTGCTCTCTCTTTTGCATGTTAGTCTCATAATTCTTTCTTCACCGGATTTGTTCTGTTGAGTCTTTAATGTGCCTGGATTATTTAAGGCTTCTTATTTTAATTGGCAAATGTATGATTTAGGTTGTGGCAGAAAAAAAACCATACTCCAAGCAAGGCTGAGCACCCTGTCCCTTCCTTAATGCCATTTTTGTTGCCAAACACTTCTGTGCTGACTCAGGTCATCCAGTTCTGAGAAGGGTTCAAGAGATCTGGGGTTTGGGATGTGGATTTCAGCCACAGGAGAGAATTACACCCCCAAACAAGTGATTTTAATGGTTTTTGTATCTTTAAAAACAATGAAATAAAAATATTGTATACTAAATATTCAATATCTAAGGATCTCAGTGTGCTTTTCAGACATTAATTAACTAATTCTTTAGCGGGCTGCAAGAAAAGTACTCCCCACATATAATTGTTTTGCTTTTTCTATAGGTCTATTTGTTTTTTATTTTAAAGAATTGACATACAAAAAAATCAGAGTCCCGCAGAATTTCAGTTTGTTAGACAAAGGCTTGTGAAAATTAATAGGCCAATAATATGATCCATGGAGGAGACCCTTTTCCTTGGAGGTTATTAAATTGTTAATTAACTTCAGTGTTGCAGTGGGTAAGGCCTTTGCTTTTTGTCCTTAGTTTATTGTACAAAATGGATGACCCAAGCTTAGCATTTTGACTTTTTTCTTCTGGTCTGAAACTGGTCAATTCTTCACTTGGGTCACCTAAATCATATACTTATCTTCTGCTTCCATAAAATCATTTTCCTTCTTGGCCTATTTCTGCAAGTGAAGTTATTGTTTTCTAAATTTCTGTTGCTTTCTAACTGGCAACCGATTTGTTTTCTAGCCTACAGCTTAATACATTTGGATTTCTCTAAGAGTGGCTTCTAGATTCTCTTCTGAAATCTTGAAATGTGTCCTTTTTTTGGCTGCTATCCTGGTAAATGGAAAGGCTGTGGACAAAACTTGCTCCTAATAGGGGGCTTGGAGCTACTGACTTTACAATATTTTGACAAGAGTGTTTAATGAAACCATGTGGCCCTTAATAAGTAGTACTGTATATCTGTCAGTTTTCAGGACCACCTTTTTCAGTACATATCTTAAGCTGTTACCTGTCTCTAGTCACAACGACATGCTTTCAAGTCTCATTGGAAAAAGAGAATAAATGAATTCATCTTGTAGTAGCCCGAAAGGCAGCTTCTTATTGTTGGCCGGATGATTGCTTGGTAGGGAATATTTTATTCCCCCTCAAAATTGTTTTCTTGGGATTAAGGATGATAAACCAAAAATGTACCAGAGAGGACTAGTAGCCAGAAGGGTACCCACTGGAGTGCAGGTGAAGTTGCATTGCATTAGGTTTTGTCTAATGGTGTTAAACTTTTTCCCCCTTAGAGAACTTTGGCAACAAGATGGCTGAGCCACGTCAAGATTTCAGTATGATGGATGACCATTCATTGAGCCAAGATAAGCAGATCCCATCAGGTGAGCCTTATTGGGTAGGGGAAAGCATGGGAGATGGGAGAAGGACCTTCCCCCACAGATGGGTTACTTTGATCCAGAAGAATGAGGAGGGCACAACTGGGCAAGGATACTGCAGAGTGAATGGGTGAGGTTGCCAGTGGAGTTGGTCCCAGAGAGCGTACCTGTATGATTGAAATGCTAGTCCAAAAAAGGGACCCTCCTATGAACTATTTAGGTTATGTTATTTGCCAGTAAATCTGTTAATCATAGTTGTCCGTGCAGATACTCTGTTGCTTAAAGCAAAGCGATGGCCTGCCTACAGGAATTACTGGGTGGGGCATGGGGTCTTGAGTCCTCTCTGCTTTATATACTGAGGCTCACGCACACTGCTGAGTCATTTCAGCTACAGGAGACAGAGCTGGCTTTGTATGTTGTCCCCAGCAAAGATACTTTAATATAGGTCATGCTCTAAGAGGGTGGGAGAAGTTAAAAACAAGCTTCATTTCTGGTGCCAGCAGTTAAGGGACCTTTTCCTTTTTCCAATTTTGAGCATGTTTGTGGGAATAAGTCTTGCAGTTCCTGCCTGGTCACTGCTGGTCCCTTTTCAGAGTGTAACATACTGTAAAAGGCTGCCTTGAAGCTCTTTTGCATTCAGAGATACATTTCCAAAGAAGAAAAGAAGCTGGAGTCTGTACTTTGCATGAATGTGTGAAATTACAAAAGAATATAGTTGCTTGCAGGAAAAGAAAAACCTGCTTAGAAATGTTAAAGGAGATGAAAAGAGACTTTTCCCAAGTCTTGTATATAAGGGCTTTGTTGATGATTGTGCCACTGTAGCCATTAGAAGAGGGGAGAGGCAGATTTTAGGCTTCTTTTGCCTCCTTGCCACTCTCCAGAGAGACTACCAAGTGTCAGGTGAACACTGGAGATAAGGGTGGGAGAGGAAAGGTCTGAGCCTTGGTGGTATGCATGAGGGACATGCATTCATGTCTTAGATGATAAAAAGTCATCGGCCAGCTGGGAGGGCCTTAAGGAAGAGGGATAGTGGGATGTTTCCCCAGTAGAGACGGGATCAGTCCTTGAAGTCCCTGAGCTGTGACAGAAATGCACCTGCCACATCCCTGTGTCACACACCATACCAGACACCCCTCCAGCCTTTAGATTGAAACTGCTGCATGTAGCACCTTGCTTTGCCCTTTTGATTTGAGCTGCTTTGGAGAGACGAGCATTTCACAGCAAGTCTTATTGAACTAAGAACATAATCCCCTGTGTGCCCAAGAGATCAGATAGTGTTTTCATTAGAGCTGTTTAAACTAACAGCTCTTTGTACATCATCTTGTGAAGTCTCAAAGAGAAGATTGCAAGGGGAAGCCCATGATGCGCTTTGCAGTATTTCCCTTACTGCTGTGTTTTATCTCAGGAACTGAAAGTGCTGAAAGAAAGCAGTGCAAAGCTTTGAATCATGTACGAGTGAAACACTGCTGGTGTTAGGGACCAGGCTTCTGGCTCACCTCTGACATGGGGATAGCTTCGTAAAAGGGTAGACTGTCAGAAGACCTCTATTTGGCTTACAGCCTTGTTGGCCTCTGTGCCTGCTGGTGATTGGCAAATACATCTGAGACTGGAATAGGGCTAGCAGCATGCATGTCTATGCCATCATTGATCAGTGGATTTCAGAGGGCTGCACAGATATCGGGTAATGAATCCTCACCACCCACTGGGAGGCAGGGGTAAGTATTCTTTTCTCCTGGCAGGGGGAGACGGAGACGGAGACGAAAGCACAGAAATATGAATGCAAGTCCAGCTCCCCTCAGCCATACAGGGAATTAGTTAGCAGAGGAGTAGGACTCTGTTAACCAGGAATTCCAGCCCCTGCTTTTTTTTTAATTAATATATTTCATGTTCCAGGTCAAATCAGCCAAATCAGTCCCAAATCATAGCAGTTGAGCAGAACTCTGCTGCCACAGCTAGATCTGGGAAAAGTCCCAGATTGGTGCCACCCTGCCCACACTGCCTGGCCCAGCTTGGCCCTGAGCAGGAGCTGTAGGTGGAGGGTGGGCTGGGCTGGGCACTGCTTCTCTTGCCCGGGGCAGGAATCAACCAGGGTGGCGTGGGGGGAGAGCACTGCTGTAAGCATGGGCTGCGTGTGTGCACATGTGCATGGTGCCCTGGGCAAACTTGTATTTGGTTCACTTTGTCACCTTCCTAAACAGTGGCAGGGGGGCGGGCTGAGCTGGGCACTGTTCCCCTTGCCTGGGGCAGGGATTGGCTGGGGGGCAACATGCAGTGTCCCAGATTTCCTTAAAAATAATATGCTCACCCTATGTATGGTGGATCTCGAATCGTATCAACTGGGACTGGATGAGGAACGGAGAGCCCCTGGCCTCCAAGCCCTTTGTTTGTCAGCCAGTGGGCTTTTCTTTAGGTGAAAGCCTGATCTGCTATCCTGCCTTTCTTGCCCTCCTGCTTCTCCCCTAAAGCGTGATCCTTTTTAAATGGATCATTTCAGATGCCTTTCTCTGTCCTTTGCCTAACCACTCAGCCTCTGTCCTTTCCACCTCCCTTCTGTTGCTTGACCCTCACAAGACCTCCCGCAATCCCCTTCACTTGTTCTTTGGAAGTGTTGTTCATCACTTGCTGAGCAGCTGTGTGGTATGGTCACGTTGCGGTAGCTCTGCTGAGGTGCATTTCTGTATGCCCCAGTCAGCTGAATGGACTGTAAAGATATAATACTGCATTGCTGTAAAAGTGCTGTCCAAGGCTGCTGCCCATGGACTGCTCTCCTCCCTTGGCTAGAACAGTAGGGAAACTGAGCCAAATTCTCAGGGTGCTGGAAATGAATACAGTATGCTTGCTTGGCAGTAGATGGGTGGAAACTGCTCCACAAGGGCTCACTTTGCAGGACAGTTGAGCCCTGCATTTTCAAGACACATTTTCCTCCATATTTAATAGTCCAGCTCAGAACCCCAGATAATTATGGGGGGAAGCCAGTTTGGGAAGACTGTTGACGCCAGTGGTAAAACAAGTGAGCACTGGGACAGTTTTCTATCCTCTGACAGATATAGGTACAGGTGCAGGCTGTCAGGCAGATGAGTTCTTGAAGGGGTCCATGGCCTATTTCAAGGACTGTTCTTCCTTCCAAGCGCCTTTTCAAGTCAGCAACCTCTGTCAGCATCATATTGCACACCTTGCACAAGGGACCCTGCTTGCATTAATTTCAGTCTTTCCGTACAAGTCATTCTCTTCACCGCTCTCATTTTATCTGCTCATGCTCCTTGCAGAGGGTGCTCTGGCATTCTGAAAGGTGTCTTCTTATAACCAAAGCCCAACATAATCCACATGGAGAACTTACTTCTTTCCCAGGGCTTGGCCTGGTTGCATTGATTAGAAATGCCAGTAATAAAAAAAAAAAAAAAAAGCTAGCAATGAATTTAGCAGTCTGCTCAGAGCCTGCCATGCACTGGAACTGTCAGAGCAAGCAGTAGTGACTCTCAGACTGTGGTGTCAGTCTGACATCTTTGCTGCCTGAGTCTCTAAAGAAAGATTCTCCCTCCCCTCCCAGCTTTATTCTTTTTCTGGAGCCATGCTTTTGCTGCTTCTACATGTCCCATGCAGTAGATTTGTTGTTTTTAATATCTTTTGCTTGCCTTTTGTGGTGATACCACTGATTTTATAGCTGACAGTTTTTTAACATTTTGTGTACATCTTTCTTAATATATCCTATAGCTGCCAGCTATAGGCACCCTTCTTTTCTGATGCTGAAATGAAAATAGGTGGAGTTAAGTTATGTGACTGCCCATGATGGATGTGTTCTAAGTGCTTAGTGTGTGTTTTCCAGGGTATCCCCTCCAGATACCAGTTGATGACGGATCGGATGAGCCGGTTTCTGAGACCTCTGATGCTAAGAGTACCCCAACTACGGAAGGTGGGAGCTCCTTGACTTACTGCTTTGGAACCATAATAAAAGATGCCAGACTGGTTTCAAACCACAGGTCCATCTAGCCCAGTCTCTTGCAGTGACACAGAGGGGATGCTAAGGGGAAGAGTGTTTTATATAGGGCCTGTCCAGATTGATCCTGTCCCCTGACCTTCTCCCCCTATAGCTTCCTAGGAAATCCTAATTTGGAGCTTGCGTCCATACCTTGTAGAGTTTAATATCTAGTGATGGACCTCTCCTGCATGACTGTCCAGTCTTCTTTTGAACCTGGTTAATTTTTCAGCCTCTAGCATCCTGTGACAGTGAGTTTAACAAACTCATTATGCACTGGGTAAAAAGAGCTTTTTTTTATTAGGTTTAAACCTGGTTCCCAAATACTTCAGTGTATGTCGCTTAGTTCTGGTCTTGTAACAGATGGTATATACTAAATCCCTGTTTACATTCTCCATACCATTCATTAGTTTATAGAAGTCTCTCTCCCTTGGTTTTCTTTAAGCTGAAAAATCCTAGCCTTTTTAGTCTCTTCTCATTTGAAAGCCTCCTTGTACCCAGAACATCCTTGTTGCCCTTCTCTAGTTTTGGTGCCCTTTCTGCGCATTGTTTAGAACATCCATGTTCTGAAGGGGTTCCTGCAGAGGCCTGTCCATCTCGTGTGCCTGTGCTGCTGGATAAGTGCTTTTTATTAATTAGATAATGGCACATGAGAATTGTCATTCAGATGCCCCTAGAGGATTGATTCCAGTTTCATCTACCCATTCAAGAATTTGTAAGCCAATGTGCCTAGTGTTACTGACTGAGTGAAGCCCATCTTGAAGGGGTCATTTCTTCTCTACTGACTGTTATTTGCAATTTCCCCTTAATTTTAATGGACATTAGGCAAACATTCAGGAGTCATTATTGAACAGCTCACAAAGCGACACAGAATCTAGCCTAGACACTCAGACTCCAGAAACTCATTAAGAAATGTCTGACCTTCCCAGTTTCCTCTCCCTGGTGGAAGACCCTGTATCCAACTGGGAAAAACTGAATTTGTATCAAGCCTATGCATATGAACAAACAGGGGGAGCAGTATGCAAGCAGTTCACAGGTCAGTTTGCCTCTTTGAAGGGGAGCCTTTAAGCTTGGTGAGAGGAAGCAGGGAAAAAGGAACCTTTTGGGACCAAGGAGCAGTAAACAGGCCAGCTTACAGGCTAGGGAAGGTCTGTTTGGAAGAAGGGCAGCAAGAGAGAGACAGCAGATTGAGAGACCCAGAGAAGTGGCTGGAGATCATTGCAATGCCAGAGCCACTGCCACTGCCTCTGCTTGTACCTGTGAGGTGTCTGTCCAGGCAGGACCGCTCACTGTCGAGGCTTCCACCCAGGTCCTGGTTTGGGGCTGCAGAGACTGTGGCTTGCAGGTTCCTTCTGGTGATGGCCAGGTTGGGGAGTACCTGCAGTGTGAGTGGTGCCTCCTGGTGGTGTCCCTCAGGGAGCAAGCCGAGGAGCTGCTAGAGGAGGTGGTGCGGCTGTGAAGCATCCTCCACCATGAGGACTTCATCAGTTCAGTGCTGAAAGAGACCTCTAGGACTGTGGAGGAAGGACTGCCAAAGGATGCGCTAGAGAAAGGGAGAGGACATGGACTCCTAGGAAGGTGGAAGCTTGTAACCTCAGGCAGCAAGCAGAAATCTTAATTTCCACCTGCAGCAGTTTGCTTGGAGAACAGATATGGAGCCCTAGCAACAGAGGTGGAAGAGGATGTTCCATTGGTGGAGGAGGACAGGCAAGGTCTCACCAAGGTGGGAAGGATTGAGACCACTGTCACCAAGAAGAAGCAAAAGGTGCTGGTGGTTAGAGTCCCCCTTCCTTGGGGAATGAAGGCATCCACCTGGCAGCCTGACCTGTTGTCTTGAGAGGTCTCCTGCTTGCCTGAAGCCTGGATCCAAGATGTCCTAGAGGGATTACCAAGACTCATCCAGCCCTCTGACTACCACCCCATGCTGCTCATCCGCATGGCACCAGTGATACTGCCGGGGGAGACCGTAAGCAGATCAAAAGGGAATACAGGAGCCTGTGTGCAAGGGTGAAGAGGACGGGGATACATGTGGTGTTCTCGATCCTTTTGGTCAAGGCGAAGGGCCTGGGCAGAAGCAGGTGCATCCTGCAGATCAATGTATAGCTGCACAGCTGGTGTTGCCAGCAGGGCTTTGGCTTCTTTGACCACAGGATGATGTTCCAGGAAGAAGGATTGCTAGGAAGAGAAGAGATCCACCTGACAAAGAGGGGGAAGAGCATCTTCACAGACTCTTTAACATAGTGAGGAAGGGTTTAAAATAAGTTTGCCAGGGGATGGAGACCAAAGATATGAGGTAAGTGGGGAAGTGGATGACCTGGACGAAGTGCAAGCAGGAGTCAGCAGTGGGAGGCATTCTCATTCTTCCTGAGAAAGTAAGGCGATCAGCTGGTTACTTCAGGTGTTTGTACATGAATGCACAGAGCCTGGGAAACAAGCAGGAAGAATTGGAAGTCCTTGCAGTCACAGAACAATGATGTGATTGGAGTAACAGAGACTTGGTGGGATGGCTTGCATGCCTGGAGCACTGTCATGGATGGGTACAAACTGTTCAGGAAGGACAGGCGGGGGAAAAGAGGAAGAGGAATTGAACTTTATGTAAAAGAGCTGTAGGATTGCTCAGAGCTCCAGTATGAAACTGGAGATAGGGCTGTTGAAAGTCTGTGGGTTAGGGTCAGAGGGGAGAGCAACAAGGGTGATGTCATGATGGGGGTCTGCTATAGACCACAAAACCAGGAGATTGTGGTGGATGAGGCTTTCTTAAAACAGCTAGCATAAGTTGCCTGATCACAGGCTCTGGTTCTCATGGGGGACTTCAATCACCTTGACATCTGTTGGGAGACCAATACAGCAGTGCGCAGGCAATCCAGGAAGTTTTTGGAGAGTGTTGGGGACAACTTCCTGGTACAAGTGCTGGAGCGACCAACTAGGGGCCATGCTCTTCTTGATCTGCTGTTCTCAAACAGGGAAGACTTGATGGGGAACGTAGTAGTAGATGGCAACTTGGGCAGCTGTGACTATGAGACAATTGAGTTCAGACTCCTGAGGAAAGGAAGGAAGGAGAGCAACTAAGTAAGGATCTTGGACTTCAGAAAAGCAGACTGACTCACTCGGGGAACTCATGGGCAGGATCCTCTGGGAAGCCAGTCTAAGGGGGAGAGTAGTCCATGAGTGCTGGCTGTACTTTAAAGAAACCTTACTGAGGGTGCAGGAACAAACTATCCCAATGTGCAGGAAGAGTAGCAAGTGTGGCAGAAGACCAGTTTGGCTTAACAGGGAACTCTTCAGTGAACTAAATCACAAAAAGGAAGCTTGTAAGAAGCGGAAACTTGGACAAACAACTAGGGAGGATAAGAGCATTGCTCAGGCATGCAGGGATGAAGTCAGGAAGGCCAAAGTGCAACTGGAGTTGCAGCTAGCAAGAGACATGAAGGGTAACAAGAAGGGTTTATACAAGTATATCAGTAGCAAGGAGGATCAGGGAAAGTACAACCAGCTCTTCCTTTACTAAACTGGGGAGGCAACCTAGTGACACAGGATGAGGAAAAGGCTGAAGTACTTAATGCCATTTTCACCCCAGTCTTCACAGGCAAGGTCAGCTCCCAGACTACTGCATTTGGCAGTACAGTCTGGGGAGGAGGTGAGCAGACAACAGTGTCAAAAGAACAGGTTAGGGACTATTTAGAAAAAAAATGGACATATACAAGTCCATGGGGCCAGACAGGATGCATCCAAAGATGCTGAGAGAGTTGGCTGATGTAATTGCAGAGCCTCTGGCCATCATCTTTGAAAACTCGTGGTGAACAGGAGAGGAGAATTGGAAAAGGGCAAATATAGTGCCCATCTTTGAGAAAGGGAAGGAGGAGGATCCAGGGAACTACAGACCAGTCAGCTTCACCTCAGTCCCTAGAAAAATCATGGAGCAGGTCCTCAAGGAATCCATTTCTAAACATTTGGAGGAGAAGGTGATTAGGAACAGATAGCATGGATTCACCAAGGATAAGTCATGCCTGACCAACCTGATGGCCTTCCCTGATGAGATGACTGGCTTTGTGGATGTGGGGAGACCAGTGGATGTGATACTTTGACTTTAGCAAGGCTTTTGATATGGTCTCCCACAACATTCTCGCAAACAAGCTAAGGAGGTATGTAGGGGTTGGATGAACGGACTGTAACGTGGATGGGAAACTGACTGGATCAGCAGGCTCAGAGGGTAGTAGTCAATGGCTCGGTGTCTAGTTAGCAGCTGCTATCAAGCAGAGTGCCCCAGGGGTCAGTCCTGGGGCCAGTGTTGTTCAATATTTTCATCAGTGACTTGGAAGATGGCCTAGAGTGCACCCTCAGCAAGTTTGTAGATGACACCAAGCTGGGGGGAGTAGTAGATAAGACAAAACAAATTGGAGGGTTGAACCAAAAGAAATCTCATGAGGTTCAATAAAGACAAGTGCAAAGTCCTGCAGATAGGACAGAACAATCCCATGCACCAGTACAGGCCGGGACTGACTGGCTAAGCAGCAGCTCTGCTGAAATGGACGTAGGGGTTATAGTGGACAGTAAGATGAATATGAGAGCCAACAGTGTGCCCTTGTTGTGAAGAAGGCTACTGACATACTGGGCTGCATTGGTAGGATTGTTGGCAGCAGCTCAAGGGAAATAATTATTCCTCTCTATTCAGCGCTGGTGACGCCACATCTGGAGTACTGTGTCCAGTTTTGGGCCCCCCACTACAGAAAGGATGTGGACAAGTTCATGGGTGACTGGTGCCTACTGAGTCTGGGGGGCACCCACAGAAGTTGACTGCGGGGATGGAGCTGGCGACCTCCCGCAGACACCACTGTCAGCAGCAGGGACAGTCCTGTTGGGAGGTGGGGCACATTGAACACCCACAGACAATGGCAGGGATAGCACTGTCAGGGAATCTAATTGAAGTGGCCAGCTATGCCCTCCCTACCAGTCACCTATGGACAAGTTGGAGAGAGTTCAGCGGAGGGCCATGAAAATGGTGAGGGGGCTGGGGCACATGACTTCTGAGGACAGGCTGAGGGAACTGGGCTTATTTAGTCTAGAGAAGAGAAGACTTGAGACTAGCAGCCTTCAGCTACTTGAAGGGTGGTTCCAAAGAGGATGGAGCTAGACTGTGCTCACTGGTGGCAGGTGACAGAACAAGGAGCAATGATCTCAAGTTGCAGCAAGGGAAGTTCAGCTAGATATTAGGAAAAAGTTTCTTACTAGGAGGGTAGTAAAGCACTGGGACAGGTTACCCAGAGAGGTTGTGGAATCTCTAGCCTTGGAGGTTTTTAAGACCTGGATAGACAAACCTTGACTGGGATGATCTCGTTGGGGACAGTCCTGCTTTGAGCAGGAGTTGCACTAGATGGCCTCCTGAGGTCCCTTCTATCCCTAATTTTCTATGATTTCTTTGCTTCCATTTCAGATAGATATTTACGCAGACAAGAAATGAACAAGGAGATGAACAATATTCCAAGCCATCTATCCTCTGTTGGACACTAAGTCCAGGTTATCTGTCAGGAATTTTCTCCCACTGCAAGCATCTGAGCAGTTTGAATACTAGACAGACTTGTCTTCCTGCCCAAGGTTGCACGTCTGAGTTGCTTTGTTACACACACAAATTTGGCCTGTGAAGACTGTGCTCCCAGCACACAGTGCTTGGTCTTACTCCAACCACATTCCACTTGGACCCAACTGAGAGCTAGCATGATGATCTTGGTTGTCTCCACGGGCTTTCTGCCCTTATGAAGAGGAGGGAAGCTGCTATCTGCTCCATAGCTTTATCTGTTTGATGGTAGAATGTCAGTGTATGTGCTGGGTTACTCCTTTCAATTTAGCATTTCTAAACAATCAGAGGAAGGGAACTGAAAGCTAGCCAGAGCTAACAGCAGTCCATAGTCCCCTGCAGACATATCAAGTGCAGCATTGGTAGTAGGGTGAGAGCTTACAAAGATTTTTAGCGAGTCAGCTTGAACAATAGAAATGAGCTTTACAGGGAGGTCACCTGGCAACATCACTGGACTGTGGAGATCAAGCTTTAAGTCCTGACTACTGATGACTTCCTCAAGTTCCTTCACCTCCCTTTTCCATAGACTCCTTTCTGTCAAATGGGATGACGCACTTCAAAAGGTTTTGACACCTTTGGATGAGAGGAGCTATAGAATGGTGCAAACTATTACTGATTAATGATGGAAGTTCCCAGTGGTTTGTTCTCTGGAGACATTTTTGGACTAGACCTTGCCTCCAGGGGACCTGCTAGCTTGGGACAGATGAGCGCTGTTCCAAGGTGCATTCTCCTGAAGGACAGAGGTTTGCAGTAGCTTACACAACCAAACCCTTCCTTTTGCCATCCTGAATACTGCTTTCTAGCCCAGGAGGAGCTGCAGTTTACCGATGGGTTTGCGCATGTGTCTGCATACTTGGCTGTATAACCTAATGCCTTTCAGGATGAGTGCGCTGCTTTTTTTAATGTGCAGAATAAGTAGAAAACATAACCTAACTTGTTGAGGTGAAATAACAAAGTTTTTGTTGACATGAATGAGAGTTGGATTATGTTGCTCCTGTGTGCATTGTGTTGAGGCCACATTTTTACAGATAACCTAAATAAGAAATGTTGAAGACTTTGTAAGTACATTTTAATTGATTGACGTTTTCATATCTGTCTGTCTGTAACACTTGGCTACCATAATAGCAAGTATTCACCTGTTGCAAACCTCAGAAGGAGAGCAAGCTAGTTGCTAGACCAGGGCTTGACAAGGTTTTTGGGCAGAGTGCCCAAAACACTGTAGCCTCAACTTGTAAGATGTTCATGTGCAAGGGGCAGATGGTGGGTGAGCCGCGAGAGGCCCAGTCCTTGTAGCAGCATAGCCATCACCCCTTCCCTGCCATCTGCCCCTTGATGCATTTGCCAAACAAAATGCCTTTGCATGCCATGCTCTGGCACCCGTGCTGGGGGTTGCCTACCCCTATTCTAGACTTTATCTGAAAAGATGTTTCACTATGAATAGGGGGGTTGTACTTTTAAATTCAGATGTCTCAGGACCTGTCAGTGCTATTCTCTTAGAAATGTGAGCTGGCACTGTGTTGCGATCAGGTTGTTCTTTCCAACCTCCGTGTTTCAAGACATTGGTCAGTTCAAAGCTCTTGCTGGTTCAGGACTGGATATTGTCTGTCTTGTGTATCAAGACTGTTGTTATGATGAGGAAATTATGTGTTAGTGGGGAAAGAAGACCATCTGTCTTTTAGCTGTCTGAAAACTACTGAGAAGCTTGCAGGGTAAGAGAATCCAGTTAGAGATGAATTCTTGGGCGGTCTAATTGAAGTGGCCAGCTAATGATGCAGGAAGGTTTTAATAAAACATCCAACTAGGAGTTGGTGACATCAGCTAAGCACCAAGAATCACCTTTCTGCAGGCAGTGTTACTTTGTTTGCATACCAGGTATTACTTATGTTCTTGTTCTGCTTATTTAAAAAAGTGAGTGTTTGTAGCAAAAGTTTTGTCAGGTAAGTCTCTCACACAGGAGGCAAGCAGCATGTACAGGCTTCCTGCTTGCATTTGGTCTTCCATGGCAAGTATCAATTTCATCCTGTTCACCTAATAAGAAGGAAGCCAAGTGATTGATCAACTCAGAGGATTCAGTTTCCTAGTAGTGTCGTGTTCTCCAGTGCTTTTTCTCAGTGCGTGGACATCCCAAAGGTTCTTATCGCAGCCTGGCCGCATGAAAGCTGCACTGTTTTTCAGATGCTACAGCACCACTAGTGGAAGAAGGAGAACATGAGGATGGGACTGGAGCTCAGCACCATGTAGAGATTCCTGAAGGAACCACAGGTGAGACCGCAGGAGGAAAAGACTCTGGACAGAAAGTGTTTCAACGCATGGCTATGCAGTCTTTCTAGGTGCTTATACAGAAGGAAAACATATTGGAGTCAGAGCTCAATAGTAAATTTGCCACGCCTTTTGTGGTTCTAGTGAGTGCATGAGTTCATCTGCTGTACTTTTTTCTACACACACTGCCAAAACCAAATCTGTACTGTGTGTCTACGTACATGTCCTTCCCATTGCTGAGAGCACCCGGGTCTTTAAGGAAGTTTGCAGCTTCTTATCCCCTCTCTCTCCCGTACTAACAGCGTCATCTTTCTTTTCTGTGCCTGGGGAAGGCGGGCACAAGCCATATAAGGCACTTTTGGGATCAGGCAAGCAACCATCTAGAGCATCCACAGAACTTTTAGGTTTGTGGAACTTGTAATCCATATATTTTAAATTTTATCCAGCACCGACCCAGCTTGCTGTATAAGAGGTGTTAGCAGTCACCCAGGACTTCACTGCTGATCTCCCAGGACCCATGTGTTGTACTGTGAGGAAAGTCCCTGTCTGCCTTGTGAATACCAGCTGAAAATCAGACCACTGGTGCTTGCAGAAGTTCCATGGATGATGGCATTGTTTTAAGCATAATATAGAGGCAATTGATTCACCACAGTGGGTGGTGGGGAAACAACTGCTCCAGCTCTGCTTTAATTTTCAGAGGCAGAAGTGTCAAAAGGAAGAGGTACTAGAGTACATTGATAAATTTAAAGACCATTAGTTTCCAGACCCAGGTGCTGTACTCCTGGGTTCTGAAAGAACCAAAGGATGAAGTGGCTGAACTAACAAAAATATGCAGTTTCTCATTAAATTAGTGACTGTCTAACTGGAGATTGAACCTACTTTATTCTTTTAAAGAAGCAGTGGGTTTGTTCCTGGGAATTACTGGCAAGCAAGTCTTTCTTCAGTATCGGGTAAATTGATTAGAAATAAAAAAAAAACAAAAAAAAAAACAAAACTTGATAACTAAAAGACATGACTGCAAGACCCAAACCAGCATAGCTTAAGTAAAAGGAAAACATGCCTTTAATCAGCTAGCAGGTCTTTGAGCATCAGTATAACAACCCATTTTCATTGGACTGTCACAAAGCTGTTTTGAAAAATTTCTCACTGGTGCTCAGATGTGGGGTCAGAAAATTTGGCGTAGAGGTTAAAAAAAAGTGGTGGTTAATTTTTCTATATGGCAAAAATGAGGTATCCCAAAGTTTTATGTTAGGACTGAAGTATAATACAATATAGGATCATGAAAGGGAGTAAATAAAACTTGCAAAAGGCTTAAAGTTTTATACAAGCATGTTTAAGGCAAAGAAGACTAATTTGGTGAATGGACGTGTGACAGCAAAGGGAGTTCACTGTTGGCAAATACAAGATCATGTACACAGAAAGACTTGCTTTAAGCTGTTCATTTATATTGCTAGGTTCTGAACTAACTGTGGCTGTTCAGGGAGCAAGTAAACAGAGTTAAGAAAAAGGCCAGTGCTCAGTTTGCAGCAGCGAGGCAAAAAGCAAACAAGATGGTCTTTGAGTACTTGTCCACGATTATCCTGCTCGAGGTGTAAATGCACCCCTGCATGTGAAATCTGATTCTTTTGGCCAACTGTGTTTTGGGGCCCCTACCTGAGCCCTGTTCGACCTCCTGCCCTGCTTCCCTGAGTACTCAACCTTATCTCTTTCACTTACCCCCAGTTTTACCAGTTAGCACATAAGACTTCTGTTTTATATAGCCTGTTGGCAGAAATTACTTTAAAACATAATGTTATAAATTTGTAAGAACTGTTTTCCCCTTTCCCCCCAGTTCTGAGGCCATGTATCCCAGTTTGAATCCAGTACTTGGAGTGAGTTGGCAGTGCCCTGGTTACTAAAAGGTCCCATGCCTCAGTTTAGAAGTTGCAGTTACTTAGAGGTCAGCTGCTCCTGCTGCTTGAGGTAGAAAAAATCACCACTTTTTTACCAATTAAGAGGAAGTTGAAGGGTAGTCATACTTCTGAATTGAATGTGTTTATGCCTGCAATGCTGGCCTGCATCCTGGTTCTACCCTTTAACAACAACACACTGCCATCTGAATTCAATCATCAACCAGCCTTTTCATACCGACAACAAATTACATTGGTATCATCTGCACCAGATCAAAAAATGAGACCCTCTTCTTTTGGTTCATGCTGTTGTCTCTCATATTATCTTCCATGGTGCAGCCCCCTTCAGGACAGGTGACCTTAGTTCCATCTACACACCGCTCAAGACACTTAGCTATCACAGAATCTAGCTTTCTCAACACTTGGCACAATTCCCACTGTCTACAAAACCTATATCTGTGCTGGAGCATAGATTACCAGTAATAAACATTTTTACTGCATCATTCTTTTGTTAGCACTGATAATCATGATCATCTGGATGCTGTCTACCTCCCTCAACTCCTGTGGGAACTGCCCATCCTTTGATTTGAAGTTTCACTCCTTGATGTCATCAGGGTATAGCAGAAGCCCATCTCTTGGGTTGTTACTTGCTCCTATGGGTCAGCTCATGAGTGGGAGCTAGAGAAAGTGACTTTAGGCCTTCTTTCTCACTGTAGGAGTTATGGAAGAGGGAAGGTCCACTGAGATCATTCCACTGTGGCCTGACTTCCCATATTTTGTGAGATACAGATTTGGCCTTGTTGGTTGTCTTGAAGTCCCCAAGCTTTGTCCTTTGGACCCCATTCTTTCTGACACCCAGGAGTAGTTTGCCTCCTATAGTTGGGTTTCCTAGGATATCACAAGCCTCTCCATGGAGTAGCCATCATGAACCAGGGTGGGACATACAGCGCAATCGTGGTGATGGTGCAATGTACTCGCCCTCATATGCCTATTAACTGCTTTGTCCTTGCCAGGTGAAGCAGTTCATTTTTCAGTTCTGTCTGGAGTCGATGATTTTGAACCTTTTGCATCCTTAGAGCACCCCTTGTATGCTGTCTGGAAAAAATCACAAACTATTTCACATATTACACCTGCTAATGAGGGCAGGTTATATCCTGTAGCTGACTGAGAATATATGGCAAACCCCAGCTTCTTGTGCAGCCACTACTTTAAATTAAAAAAATAAAACAAGTGCAAAGTGCCTTTATTAAGTCATTTCAGAAGCATTTGGGAATTCTTATACCCAGCCCATTTCAAGTTCTTTAGTAGCTGCAGGTTTGCAAGAATATAAAATGTGACTGCCATTGGCTCATACCTGAGAGATCTGAAAATGTGAGTCTGTTTGGTAAAGAGGTGGTTTTTTTCTGCGTTTTCAAGACAAGCTTTGTTAGTGAACTAAAACTCCCATTCAGAGGCTTTCTTTTAATATGTGGACATACTTCTTGTGGACTTAAATGCTGAACCATTTATACCAATGGTCACCTGCCAACAAAGCCTCTCAAGGGACTGGTCTTTGTGTCCTGATAGACAACACTGCTGGGATGTACTCACAGACCACACCACTGCTGTGTGCTGCATTAGCAGGCAACCTGGAGTGGAGCATCCATTCTGTCAGACAGCTGCTCATCTTCAGAATCAGTGCACATGACACAAGGTAAATCTGTTAGCCCTATACCAGGGGTCGGAAACTCGTGGCATGCATACTAGAGCGTGGCATGTGAAGGCATTTTGCTTGTCACGTGTCTCGGAGTAGATGGTGGGAGAGCTGTGAGAAGCCTGATCCTTGTTGGGGCAGTGTAGCCCTGGTCTCTTCCTCACCATATGCCCCAAGGTGTATCTGCACCTGCCACTGGCAATGAGCTGGGCCAGGGCTCCATGGACCCTGGAGCAGCTGCTTGCAGCCTCCTAGTTGCCTGCCACAGTTGGCCTGGGCTCTGGGTAGGCCCCTGCCACCCACCACAGAGCCCAGACTGCTCATAGCAGGTGGCAGGGAGGCTGCAAGGAGCTGCACCTCGGTCCACAGAGCCCTGGCCTGGTTCTGCTGCCAGCAGCAGGTGCACACGTGCCTCAGGGTGGATGGTGGGAAAGGGGTCAAGGCTGCACTGCCACAACAAGGATTTGGCCCCTTGCAGCTTCCCTGCCATCTGCCCCTGGCATGCTAGCATCTTACAGATCAAAGTTGTGGGTGTTTTGGCACTCTGTCCAAAAATGTTGCTGACCCCTGCCCTATACTAAACAGACTTGGGTGTAATCTGGCAGATCAACTCAGCTGAAAGTGCCCTCCCAGTAGCAGAAGACTCAAAAGACCATCCTCAATCAGGACTTGATATTTTTACATATCAGCTTGTGTGTTCCCATGATAGCTAATTGCCATCTGCCTTGTGGATTCATTCCTGACCCAGTGGCACAGAAACCTGCTTTGTGACTTCTAGCCAATTCCATTAATTCCCAAAGGCCTAAGAAAAGTAAGACAAGACAAAGGCCTGGTAAATACAAATAACACCACCATGGACATATGTCAGTTCTCCAGAGAACAAACCACTGGGAACTTCCACCATTAATCAGTAATGTTTTGCACCATTCTATAGCTCCTCTCATCCAAAAGTCTCAAAACCTTTTGAGGTGTGTCATCCCATTTTACAGAAAGGAGCCTAGGGAAGAGGAGATGAAAACTTGAGGAAGTTGCCAGTTGAGTCAGGGCATAAAGCCTGATCTCCACACTTCAGTGATGCTGCCAGGATGCCTTCCTGTAAATCTCATTTCTGTTGTTCAAACTGAGACTTGCTTCTTCAGCTCAGCCATCCCCTACATCTTTCAGAAGTTATTTCAGAAAATTAATCTGATCCTGTGCCTGATCTTACGGACATGACACATGACAGCAGGACTACTACTTGTCTGGGTGTAGTAAACAAGTATTGTTCTGCTGTATGAGAAGCCTTATTTTTATGAATCAAGCTATAAGTCTAACATAAAGCAAAATGGAAAAACTTTGTGTTATCAGCTGCTTAGTGCCATTGTTGTGTCAGTGTCTTTTCTTGTTATCCTGGTCTATTCATTGCTTTTTTGGGGCTCTTGGGATTTTGAATCTGATCCATGTGGTTCTACCACTGAAGGAATTTTCCTCTCCTTGGTTCTTACATAAGAACTGCCCTTTCCTGGGTCAAACCTTAGGTCCATTTAGCCCAGCATTGTCTCACACAGAGGCAGGGCATGGATGTGAGGGAGAGGGTGAACAGGGTGTCTAGAGTTTTCCACCTCCCACTCCTCTCCCACTGCAGCTTCCAGCATTCAGAGGTTTAGGATCTTAATGTGAGTCTCCTTAATGCTAGCAAGACTCCATCTTCTCACTTTTTAGCCTCTAGCCTCTTGCTCCTTCTACTGTCTCTCTCTTTCAAGACTGCATGTTGGTGACCATCATTACTGCTTGAAGTGAAGAGTGAGTTTTAAGCATTAATGACAGGACTCGCTCAGACTGTTTCACAAAGATAAGGCGAGTCTGATCTTTCCCAAAGTGGTCCCTGGATTTCCCCCTCAGTTAACACATACAGGCAGTCCTCGACTTGCAGCGTTTCAAGTTACGTTTTGCACTTACAGTGTTTATAAATTGACACCCTGTTTCAACTTTCTGACGTCAGTTTCAACTTTACAACGCTTGATCCGATGCGATGCCAGCGAACAAGTTTGCTGCGTCACTCATCTCCCTGGAGAAGATCTGTCCAAACTTCCTTAGATACTTTCTTTAAGAAAGCAGACAAGACTCCAGAAAAACCTACAGCCAAGACTCCTGAGAAGACTCCAGCCAAGAGCCCTTCAAGAAGTCCAGCAAAGTCACCTCAAAGAAGTCCTTCCAAATCAATATGATTACTATTTACAATATAAATACATTAATATAGCTATATTACTCATCTATAATTGATTGAGTACAAAATTTTGGGGTATTTTTGGTGAAAATAGGGTATCAGGCCTTGGTTCAGGAACCAATCCCGCATTTATAACGTTGTTTCCTATGGGAAAGGAGTATTGGAGCAGATTAAGATTTCCCATGGAAACAAAACAAATTATCTTAAACTCTTCTGCTTAAACTGTTCTACTAGAGCCCCCAATTTGTTTGGCATGTTCAAGGAATGTCCCCATGTAGAAATATACTTGCTGCTAAAAATCAGGTGTCTGGACTGATAAGAGACTCCTGCAGTCTTTTAGTAAGACTCCTAGGGTGTTAGCTGTTAAACAGCGACCTTGAATGCAATCTGCATGGACAAGCAATAATTACAGAAAGAATGGTTACTTTCCTTATAGAAACTGTGGTTCGCTAGGGCACCCATCTGGACAAAACATCCCAGAATGCCTTTCTTTGCTACTAATGTGGAGTACATGTAGGATCCTGTGGGTGTGAACATGTATTCACGGTGGTGTAACTCTATGTTGGGTTTGCATACTGATGCAACACCAGCATGCTGCTGTCTCATGATAATCGGTGCCATTACAGCACCTTGCCACTGGGTGGCATGGGAGTAGGTAATGACCTGCATTTTGTAGAGGGATGAAGCCTAAATTAATGTAATTTACACTACTGGAGTTTTAACTCTCATTCTTTCAGAAGAAATTCTTAACCATATTGAGTTACTTCAGTTTGTCTGTCCACAGTCTGTGCTTCCAGAGCAACTAAGAAGCAGTTGTATTTATTTTGCCCTTTATGCCCAGTGAGGGATGAAGATAGTGGTTGTATTTATACTATTTTTGTATGCTGGTGTCAGCTCAGCTCTGACCTATCTTACGAAACCTATTGTTGTGTCTGTCTTTTTTTTTATATTTTAAATTTACCCTCAGGCATTTTTAGTTTAGTGCTAGAAATGTTCAGGATAGTCAGTCTGCTGTGCAAAAGGACTTTTCTTGCACCTCAGTTTTCAGCCCCTTCCTCTGCAGTATCAAGTCCTGGCCAATGTCATCCAGGGCTTGATCAGATGAAGCCTTACCTTGATTTAGCATGACAGAATGACTAATGTTAAATCCATTGCAGTTAAGTTTTATCTGCCATTCTGATACAGCATGGCACTGTTCAGAGCCTCTGGCATAATGGTACCTCTGATTCCATTATAGCTGGAGTTAACAGAGGCGGGGGAAAGGTGGGGGGTTTGTGAATATTTAAATCCACTTTTGCATCTGTTTTCTTTTTCTTGTGAACAAGCTGAGGAAGCGGGTGTGGGAGCCACTCCTAACCTTGAAGACCAAGCTGCAGGAGACATCGCTGAAGGTAAGTGAAATACTTGTTCTTTGAAAGTAGTGAAACAGAAGCCATGCCTAGACACAAAGCTGGCATTTTGCCAGCGGTTATGGGTTTTTTCTTCTATAATGCTGCTCTTCCTAGCTGCACCAGCAGCTGTGCAGTTCTTCCTATCTCTACCAGGAAAAGGCAATATGCTTTAGCTGTCACCACCATTTTTCTTTGGGGGAACCGCAGCTTTTCATCCAATTGCCTTCTTCTCTTAGGCAGCTGTGGCCTAAGTTCTGGTCATCTTTCTGTATTGGCAGACAGCTGGGCATCTTCCACTGTGTAGAAGGAGGCTTCATCCTGTGAAAACCGAAGTCTTGACCCTGTGGATTTTAGCCAGAAAGAGT